CTCTTTGCTACAGTGATGCATGTTCCTCGAATAGTTTCTGTATGTTACTCAACAGTTAATGTTGGCAAGTGTAAACAACAAGTGACAGAACTTCTGCTTCATATGATTACAATAAAGTTTTGAAAATGGGTATGGATTCACAAGTGACAGTTTACTAAATAGACACTTCGAATATTGTTTGCATGAGATTTTTATTTTTTGACCGCATAATTATCCGAGTTACAATGGGTCGTTCCAGAAAAAACCTGTAGTCCCCCCACAGAGGAAATTTCTGCCGTCCGGAGGGAGGGGAGAAAATATTGTTTATGATAATAGTAAATGTATTAGGACATGAGAAGGGAGTAGGGGGTTAACTTCCTATTTCCTCTGTGGGGGTGGTATGGATGTTTTCTGGAATGACCCAATCGCAATCACATAAAATTAGTTAAATTTTCTCCGCAGGAGGGATTTTATCTATTTGATTTGAATTTTATCTATTTGATTTTATCTATTATAGATTTGAATTAAATCTTGGTCCTGTATTTCTGTAGTAAACTCTGTTCGATGTTATCAGTTAAAATACTTATACATTTTGGTTTAACAGTGATTAGAGTTTTTAAACAAAATGTTTACAAACATTTTCAAATGCTAATAAAAGAATCCCCACTCTCCCTCCTCATTATATTGTTATTTTGCTTTCTAACATAAATGGTTTTTTTTAGAAATTAATGCAAGAATGATGAAAATGTACTGGATATTGGCTAGATATTCTTCAACCTAGTTGATTGGTAGACAATAGTTTCTCCATTTAATTTTTTGACAATCTTAATAAATTCCAACAAATAGCTGAGAAGAAGTATTTCCTTGTTGCCAACAATTCTTTCTTCAATAATTTCAGCACAAAAAATGTCAAACGCATTGTCATAAACTGTTGCACCAATAGGTTTGATCTTGCGCGTTAAAATCTTTGTATACTGTAAATAGCACTTTTTATGATACCGTGCTTCAATTGCAACACAGTCTTTCCCTGCAATTTCACGAAGCAAATAATATTTAATATTTATATTGCGCAAATTAACATGTTATAGTATATGATCAAATGCGCATAAATCAGTGTCATTATGTAGTTTGGCTGCTTCTTGTAAGGCTCCTGCCGTAATTGTTTGTGCCAATGATAGGAACTGTTTTTTATACTTTCGCGAGTGCTACAAAAATGGAAACTATAATTAGAGCCTGAATCAAACGAGAACGCAAGTTGGCAATCGCGCTATCTCATAGTTTTTACGTGTTTAAAACACTTACGAAGCAGTTATTTTGTTAATGCTAAAACGACTGTTACGATAGTAAATCTTGACTGCCAACTTGCGATCCTCCGCTCTCACTTGATTCGGGCTTTATAATAAGAACAACCTCAGATCACCTCTCTTATATTTAAAGTAATAAATAAAAACAGTTTATGTTACACTATACTCACCGGTTCAAATACACTAATAGGTTTTGCTTTTTTACAAACCAAGCACCTTTTCGGTAGAATATTTCTACGAACAGAAATAGAAGTGGTAGGGGAACAGCTTTGTTTTTGAATTCGGGACGACTGCCTTGTCGGTGTCCTTTTCTGTGGAACAGGGTCATCGTCTTGTTTCTCACATTCGTCTTTCTTTCTCTTTAAATTCGCGAGCGTTGATTCCGCTCTCTCAAGCTTGGTTTTGTCGGTAAAATTTCGATAGCAAGAAACATGATAACCAAGTTTTTCGTCATGTTCACATACCTCATCTTTGTTGGCAGGGATATGAGCGTACGTTTTCTCCGCAACATGGCTGAATTCTCCGTATTTTTCAGGGAGATTCCGCCACTGTTTTCTTCATTCGATTATTTTCTTTAATGTTTCAGTGGTTAAAGATTTTATTTGCCCGCCTTTTCCCGTGAAATGAATAATGCATGAACTTTCGTCCATTTTGTTTTGATATTCCCGCGTTTTTGCGCCAAGCTTTATTATTTAACATGCAGCGAGACCTCCTTTGGTGAACATTCGGTAAACGGACGGCGGCCTTGACGTCACAATTCTTCGATTCGACTGATGTTATTTTATGATGTATGTTACGCAATATTCAAAATGGCGGCTGTTGACGTTGAAAATGAGTGCTAATATAAGAGGCAATTGTGACAAAATGAAAGAGATTAGGAGCGGGAACTCTTCGGATTCGTACTCAGCGTAGTTGAAAGTGGTAAGTTATTATAAAATTATTTAGTTCCACGAGGTGCACTATGGAATTGAACGATAACGTGGGACAGCAAACGGCCTAATCGCCGTCTCAAGACAAACCGGCGCTCTTTAATACCTGATAAGTAAAATAATTTCGAAGTCATCCTTCTTTTATAGCTTCGTGAAAATGTGCTAAGTTTTGTCTTTTATAGTTAAAACTTATTTACAGAAAGCCGCTTACCGGGACGTCTCGCTTACCGATGATCTCGCGGCCTATCTATTTTCCTATAAAATTTTGCATTGTGTTCATATGAGAAAGCGAGCTGGCCCGCTTGCCGAGATCTCGTTTGAATTTGCCGAGATCATAGGTAGGCGGGATGAAAATTTTTCCATATGAACACGCCAGCCCGCTTACCGGGATGAAGTCAAACAAGTCTTGCCGGTTTAATTTAACACTTTTTACTTGGTTTTATGTTTGTTTTGTAAACAAGTATTAAATATGCACCTGAACCAATACTTTTTCTTGTAAATAAACGAAGAAAAACACTAAAATGGCTAAGTATTTGTAATGCTTGACTGAAATGTAGAAGTTTTGCATACGCTAATTATAGAACTACAATGTAATTTCACTCGGCAAGCGGGACGAAATATTCCATATGAACGCACGGAAATATTCGTCTCGGTAAGCGAGACGTCCCGGTAAGCGGGATCAAATGAACAGGCCCTAAAAATAAAATATACTGAGAAATTATCTCGGTCATAGCACTATCTACTTAAAGAATGCTGTAACTGTTAAAACCATGTAAATTACTAATAATAGCTATTTTTTAGGAAATGCCATTTTCGGGTTTAATTCCCGATGAGAAAATAGCGACCGGAACTGTCCGGAAGGAACAAAACACTTGTCGATTTCAGTCACGCTATATGTCGAAAATACCCAATATTCACGGCCTCCCTACGAACTCTAAATACAATAACCCAAACTAATTTTTTTTATATGTTATAGAAGAACATATAATTAGTTAATGGCGTACGTTTCGTGTAGAAAAAATCTGGGTCACTTAGTTAAAATGGTTTTTGCGTGGCAACGGTAGATTCTAAATATCAGGTGTCTGGTTTTAATTAATAGCTAAAATCATGATTTTATGCTCAATCAAGTCTCAAACAACTCTTCCATCGATTCACAAACGTATGGTTTTCATATATTTTCCAATTCTGCATGCGTTAGTTGTTTTTGAACCTGTTTGATTCAATTGAAAATTTGCATATTTTTGAGGCAGCCGAACAGTTGAATCGTTTTTGTCGGATTTCTCAGAATTTTAGCGGTTTTTTGAAAAACAAACTACATCACGTTTGTTTACTTGGCAATGCCTTCCAGCAAACCAAAAATGAGAAAAATCGAAACTTTGAGCGTGACCGGCTGATGCTCGATATTAGTGGACCTTCGCTCTTAAAACGTTTGCCGATATTAATTTGATGAAATCATATTTTTTCAATACCTCCACTTTTAACAGCATATAAATGCCTTCATGTAATATCACCAAAAAGAAATAAAGCTATCCATAACTGAATTATTCAAAATATTGTCGATTTGTAAAAATCCAACATATATGCCACTGAAATCCTGAGAAGAATCATGCGAGCGCAATACAAAATAAATTTTGTCCTCCCCCTCGTTTCAAAAATCTTCCTGAAGCCTTAATTATTTCTCCGGAATTACGACATCTTTACAGACAAACAGAAAGACGCAAATCGAAATCTCGATCGACTATACATAACTCGACCAAAGAAACTGGGCACAATTAAAGGCAATACTTCATGTCAAGAATAGCGTGCTGCCTTCGGCAGCAACCAACATTCTTCGCGGGCATCAGCCTTGTGACGTCATTATGCATAAGGTCTATTAAAAGATACGACCCCGAAAAAAATAGCACTTTAATCCCGCTTTAGTTATCCAGGACATTTTAATTCATGAATATTATTATATGACAAGGAGCTATGGGGATTGTAGACTTTACCTGCTCAAACGTATACGTAGCTATCTCACTTTTCAATCCCGTATTCAATTATATTACGCACTAATCTACCCACACTTGCTATATTGTAGCACAGTCTGGGGCAATGCTAATAACGATCTAATTACGTGCCTACTAAAACTACAGAAACGTGCAGCGAGACTAATTCTTGAGCAGTCAACTGAAGTGCCTTCAATTGTGCTTTTCCGTAAACTCAACTGGATACCAATTTTTAATTTGATCAAAAAAAAAATGAGAAAAATATTATTGGTATTCAATACTTTAAAAACATCTTGGCCGCCGGATCTTCGTAAATTGTTTGTCTTTGTTCGCGACTCTCATCCAATTCCAACTAGATCGTCTATTACAGACTTAAAAGTTCCATCAGTTAAGACTACGCAAGCAAAATCCAAAATTTCCTTCAGTGGTGCAAGTTTATTTAATTCTCTACCTTCCAAATTAAAAGATATTGAAAATCATTCAATTTATTCCTATAAAAAGAAGCTCAAAACCTACTTTATTCAATTGAATTATGAAGTAGATCACGTTAATAAATTCCGCTGCATCGATTGTAAGAATATTACTCATTGTCAATGTTACTCTCAATAGGATTTTCTTTTTATATATTACTATTAGATATCGAGGGCCATTGGGAAGAATACTGTATTAAGTAATCAGTGTAATCCCTCATTAAATAAAGTTTTATTATTATTATTATTATTATTACCTCAACTGATCGACTCGGCCTCTAGCAGGCGTTTATTTGCTAGCGAGCGCGAGGACGGCGAGAAAAGGTTAGGTCTCAAAATTCAGTTAAAATCAGAACAAAAAAAGTCAATTCACTGCGTGGTGAAGACGGTCTCGTGATACTTCCAACGGGATATGGAAAGAAAGCAATTGTAATTTGCCTCGAAAGAACATACATGATGCTAATGATAAATCTTGACGATGATTGGATAACGTGCAAAGTTCTTTCACTGTAAAAGGGCCAAAAACGCTTTTCACAATGTCATTATGGCAGGCGTTTGTTTTTTCCCCACGCCCTCGCCGCCAGCAAGCGAATAAACGCCTGCAACGCAGGCTACCCCGCCTCCATCATGACCGGTTGTACGAAGCACTATCCTTTTTAACCGTTGCAAATTGCTTGAAAGGCTATAAAACTGCGAAGTTGAACCTCACGACAATTAATGAGAAGAAACTTTCGTTTATAAATACTAAATTTTATACAAATGAACGGAAAATCTTAGAAAAGTAGAAACTAGCGCTATCTGACACTCGCACAACCGGCCTCAGGCAAAGCTGTATCATGTAGATAGCACGTTAAACTTGCGATGTCATCTCGGTTGGTTGTGGTGGAGGATCAGGGTCTACATTTATAATATCTAGGTCCATCGTCGTGTCATTTTCTGGACATTGTTTCTTTACCATCCCAATTTCCCCTCGATACATGACTTGATGTTCTGGAGGCATGCTCGTACGAGGAGTTGGTGCTGTACTCGTTGCAAAGCAGCAAACGTCGAATACCTAACAATACGAGAGACATGCATATATGACAAAATGGCGGCTTTCAAAATTACTGCAATCTGATTGGTTAAGAGGAGTGTAATTATTTGAAAAATCAAAATGGCGGCTTGCTTTGTAAATTCAAACGAGTCTACAATTCACTATTCTTAACACTCGTAATGATATGGAAAATTAAATATGGTACAAAACGTCACTTAATCAGTCATCTGGGTAAACAAATGCGTGCATAATGTCACTGAGGAAAAATCCGGTCAAACACTGCATTCTTGTTCAGTTCTACCGGTGGTAACCGCCTAATGCCTGATACAGAGTTGGATTTGCACCGGGAGAGAAACAGCCAGTGCAAAATTAGTGTCGCAACAAATCACACGACACAATGAAGACAGATAAAACGAAAATATAGAAATCATTTTAATTCCGGACTAAAATTTCGTTGTCGTCAATTTTGAACTGCCGAGGTTAATGGTTATTGCTCCTTGAGGAAGGGTTCACGGCTAATAGTTTGTTTAATATATTCCCCAAGGCGTAAGGCGTATTATCCCTTCATACATGTTTATATCATACTTATGTTCGCGTCTATTGAGTGGCGGCGTTTGCTGCATATACCTTCTGACGAAGTGCTTTAATGTTCACAGGATTTTAGCGTTTTAATGTTCACAGGATCTTATAATCCTCTTTGGGTATATTTTACCACTTAAAAATTGTCTTTCAAGACCTTCACTTTGTTAGATTTATTGTGTTTTATCAAAGAGTTATGACACAGGGAGTGTGAGATTTCCACGCTTGAACACATAACAAGTATCCCACAATGCATTGTGCATTCCAGAAGCCCCCTGTATTGAAAGAAGCCCCCTGTACGTGACGTAGGCAATTCTAAAGTCTATTGCACTCCTTGCTGTGGAATTACCTATCCAAAAAAGTATCGATAGTTTACTGCAGCAATTTATAATCTGTTCACGTTGGCTAGTTCAAAATGTATTGTTAAAACTCGTTGGATAAAATGTTTCTATTCCTAAATTAATATATGTTATTTGAAAATTAAAACAGTAAAACGACATTAACATGCACCAGGGCAGGTATACGAAGACCGGATAGCGCTATTCGCCAGGATAGGTATTTTTCAATAAACAAAATAAAAAACGCGACTCGTATAGATTTCATCGGAATCCTGGTCGGAGAGTTCAACGGCAGATGGACTCACATAATGCATGCTGTGATCCATAACATGTACATTGCTATCGCGGTTTATATTTCTACCGAAATGTCTCCTGTATTTCCAGCATGTGTTAACATTCCCGCAAAGCTAACATTTTTAGAAATATTACCTCGCAGCAGAAACAGAAAAAACTTTCGTGACGATCTTCATCAGGAGGACCAGCGCAGCAGTTGCATGTTCCATCGTCGCCTTTGCAGCCACATAGACCAAGTATGTCGCAAGACTTGAAACAACTACAGTCGCACTCTAGCCCACAACAATCGCATGACTTGCAACAATCACATGATTTAAGACAATCACACGACCCAATATTCAAGTCACATGGGGCACACTGTAATCCACAACAATCAATAGATTTCAAACATTCTCCGCAATTGCAATCTCCACAATTGCAGTCTCCACAATTGCAGTCTCCACAATTGCAGTCTCCACAATTGCAGTCTCCGCAATTGCAATCACCACATTCGCCGCAATCTCCACCACAGTCACCCATGTCTTGAAAAGTCTCAACAGTCTGATATTGACTAAAAATTAAAAAGAAGCACATAAGGTTGGAAGATCACCTTTTTTTCTTTTTATATCTTGTACATAATTAATTTTAGTATAGGTGAAATTGTACCGTGTTGAAATATAGTTCATAATAATAATAATAATAATAATAATAATAATAATAACACAATCTCACTGGATGACAAAAACCGTCGGTTAATGACAGCCAATTTGATTTTGTATTCGTCATTTCAGTGGGTCCACACATCCAGCATAGTGTCAATAAAACATTGAACATATTACCAAAAACGTTTCGTATTTTTTCGTTTAAGGAAATCATTTATTTCGCAAAAAGTTGAAAGATTGTCGTGAAACCACTTTTGATAATCAATTTAAGCAAAGTTATAAATTGCGGTTAATGGAGTAATATGTTCTAGAAGGCTCTATCTGCCCGAGAGTGTTTCCAGTCTGCCAACGTATCTGCGTCACAACAATTAATCCGTACAAGGTCCAAGTACCATGGCAGAACAAGGGAACCGTTTTCTAGTCCTGTTAATATTACAAAATATCAGATAAATATCGAACTTTGGCTGCTAAGCATGTGAACAACTGATGCAAACTTGGGATTAACCAATCAGAAAGTATCCTGAAGGTTTTTCCTTCACGTGCATACGTACCATAGAAATAATAGACATAGAATGCGTGCTCCTATCTTTTCTCAGTAAAAAATTTGTCTCCACAAAATGGCGCATTGAAAAGGGCATTTTGGTTGGTCCCAGACTCCTGAGGCAGGGAATTTCGCGCGGTTGCACGGAGTGCGAATTATTTTTTCAACTGAAAAGTTTGCAAAAAATTTTATATCGGGACTTAAAATGGAAACAATTTTGGTAAACTAAGGAAAAGTGTCTAAAAACCCATTCCAGTGGGTTTGTTTACGAAAAGCAATAGTTCTGAACAGAATATATGAAGAAATCGTCGTTTAAAAATAAATTTTCAACGTTATGTTGTTGTGCAAGCCAAAACAAAACACAAAAGATCAAGACAAACTCAATAGGTATGTTCTACAAATATTTCAACTCTTTTACAATATAAATGGAGTTCAATAATCTTTTTAAACTTACACAATTATATTTCATATTTTTCTACGTTGCTTGAGCTTGAGGCAACGCTTTTGAAACCATGGTTTTCGACGATTATTTTTAGGCAATTTTACAGTTTATCGACAACTATAAAATGTTTCAAGAACATGAAAACACTTCGTTTACATTGCAGAAAAACGAAACCCGACGAAGAAAGAACTATCATTTTGTAATCGTATAAGATATTAGCAAAACAGTTACGTTTAGAGCATGCAAAAATGTTTTGAGTAAATTATATTTTCGCGAAACTACTTTGCTTTTAAAAGGCTGCACGATTTTCACTGTTTTCATAGTGTTTTGTATTAAACTGCACATTTGCTTTGACAGTTTGTGCCTTCAAGGAACTCAAAATCTATCCCCAAACTACAAATTAGACAACAAGACAAAACGTTTTGACGATGAAAACGTAGTTTTAGCTTTGTTTATACTTTGTAGTTTGCACTCCTGGCCAAAATTCAAAATGGCGCATTCAAAAGGGCATGCACCTGAAAAAGTGGAGACATGATTCGTCATTAGCACGCATTCTATGTCTATTATTTCTATGATACGTACAATGGCCCCCCTCTTTGCGCAATGACTTTTGATCGCAGTGTTGACGTGCACTGCTCATTCGCAAGACTTTAGCCAGTGCGTTAACATCTCTGGCAAAATTTTTG